CCCCTTCCTTCCCCCACCCCCCTTTTTTAGACAAACTACAAAATAACTATCGTGGCGTGAGTGCAAAGGGAACAAGCCTAGAAATAGTAAGGTTAGAAAATAAATCTGACATCCTGCCAGAAAGGTCAGCTTTCCCTGCAGATGCTGGTGCACCCATTTGCACGCCGGAGCACGGCCCCGGGGCACTACCAGGGGTTGATAGATGCAGAGATAGCAGCGTTTTGATAGAGGTAATTTTCCTCAGATGGGTTTCAGCACCCCATGAATCAAAACCTGTCAGCGAGAAGCTAAAGATGGAGTGAAGTTTATTGTACGCGTGTTTGCATCTGACACTGTCGTGCTAGGGGGTCAAGTGAGCGAGATCATTAGGACCGTGTTGATTTAGTAGGACGGTTATGTGCTTTCCCTGCAGGGCAGTGGTGGGGGCGGGAGGCGTGGGGGTGGCTTACCGAAAAAATAAATAAAAACCTACAGCTCGGTGCAGTCCCTGGGAGCCTCCCATGTCCTTTTATTAAAGACACAGCGCTTTTCTTCTTGAAAGTGGCTTTGGGGCCATCCTCTTGCTCGTGGGATTTAAACCACGCGGGCAGCAGTGATGGTTTTTAAGAGCCTGTTTAATGTCGCTAATGCACAGGTTGGATTTTCTTTGTGTGGCCACAGCCAGTGCGTACGTCGTGCTGCTCCAGTGAGCAACTTTTCCTTCCCTTCCCTGTCTCCGTGATGATAATCCCTCCCGGCGTCCTTTGTTCACAACCCTCAAGTTTCGCTGCTTTTCTGGGATGTTGCTTCTTCCTGAAAGCTGGAGTAATCCTAACCTGGGCCGGGTGCTGGGTCGGGAGAGGGCTCTCGGCTGCTCCCCCACGGGAGCCTAGGACAGATGCGTGCCTGCTGTCCCCCTCCGTCCTCCTCCATGAAATGGGACTGGGGAGGGCAGGGAGGGCCGAGGGTGATTTAACCTTTGCTCATAGCTTCACTGTCAAACCACGGAAGGGAGGACCGGCAGAACAGAGCAGGTGGGCGAGGGTGGCGATGTCCGAACCACAGGGCCGTCCTCGAAACAGTCCTGGGCGGAGGATTTCTGGGAAGGAAGGTTAAGCTGCTTGCCATGGCGTTCGGCAGCAGACCCTGCGGTCAGGGGCTGTAACGCACGGGGGGAATCAAACGTGTTTGGGCCACGGCTGCTGGCGGCTTCCTACGGAGCTGGAGCTTGTGAGAAGCTCGGAGCTTTCAGTTCAAACGCCTCGGCCAGCCCTGTTGCCACAACACACGTCCGTGTCAGGAGTAATAGCGCTGAGCGGGTCGCTGTGGCCTCGTTTATGTAAGGTGTTGACACGGCGAGGTTACCCCGCTGCTTGCGAACGGGGTGCCCGGTGCCACTCTGGTCAAATTTGGCGCGGTTTATGACCTTGAGCTTAAACGGATAAGCGTCCAGCTCGATTCCTCTGCTTGGCCGGCTAATTCCAGTTGATCCAGGTGGAGCACTGGGACTTGAAGCGTATTTTCTTGGAAACGGTGCTCCTGTTCTCCTTCTGCCTGGTGCCCCTTGCTCTAAACCCCAGGCGATGGCGTTGGTACCTCTGGCTCCTCAGCGCGGTGGGAAGCCGTGCATCAGGGCAGCGCGGCCGGGGAGCCTTCGGCGAGCGAGAGCCTGCTCGTGAGCTGCGCTCCCCTGGATAACGAGCTGTGGTGGATGGGGTTGTGGGGAGTGAGAGCTCTGAGATGTACTTAATGATAGGGGAGGGAGAAGCGGTAGGAGCCTGGCAAAGTAATCAGGCAGCCTTAACTGTAGAAATGGCCTGAAAGAGGCACGAAACAGCCAGAGGTAGGAATAAATCCGCAGAAAATGGATGCGTTGAGGCTTTTACGGGCGGTGATGGGTTTGGCTATTACTGGCGATCAGGACATCGGCGTGGGTGATGGCAGCGGAGGTAAAAAGCCTCCAGGTTTTTTGGAGAACCTTGAGAAGCAGGGATCGGAAGGCTCTGGGAAACGTCAGTAGAAATTTGCTCGCTTGGGCAGGAAATAAATGAAATGAGACTTAGGAAGATAGAGCGAGTGCCGAGCCTCCATCTCCAAATGAGAATGTTTACGAGAGAAGCGGCACAGCCTCGGTACCGTGGGGGTGACCGTCAGATTCCTACTGCTCGCTTTCCCAAGGGCATTGCGAAGGTCCCTGCGACAGCTGTCAGTGCTTCCCCCAAATCCCTCCTAGACCAACGTCCAGACAAAGGTGAGGTTCTGGCTGCTGAGGCCGGATTTTCCTTTGCACGTGCCCGCCTGCGCCCTGTCGCAGTAGCTGTGACGAGCGTCTGTCCTTTCCTTCCACCCTCCTTCGTGCTCAGGTTTGAGCGTGAAGAAATTCAGGGCAAAGACGATACGGCGCTGTAGGGATGGGCAGGCTCGAGGAGGGCTGTGGCTTTATTTGAGGAGGTCGTGCCACGGGGCTGGTAGGTGGGCACTGCCCTTGTGTGTCTTCATCGATCGCTGCTGAAGGACCGGAGCCACCCACGTTACCTGACGTGCTCTGCAGGAGCTCTTCTCCAGCACGTGCAACGCGTCCCCTACGGACAGTGCACTTTGCCAAGGCGGAGGAGAAGCCTGCTCCGCTCTCGGCGTCTCCGCTGCCTTGCTCCCAACTTTTAGCAGGTGCTCTGGTAGCCGGCTGCGGGAGGAGTTGGGGGTAGGAGGAACAGGATTTAGGGTTAAACGAGCACCCTGGGGCATTGCCAACAAAATAAATCTTTGTCCTTCTTTGTGCCAGAGTGAAGAAGACGAGAAACTGAAGAAGAGAAAGGAGCGGTTTGGCATTGTAACGAGTTCAGCCGGGGCTGGAGCTACAGAGGACACAGAGGTAAAACCTTTTCCTGAGCGGATGGGGAGCGGCCGAGGATGCTGAGGGGAGCAGTGGCAGTCCCGGAGGTGGCAACGTGACTCCGCACACCTGGGACCTCGCTCAGCGCCGGGTCCCCCACGCTGGCGTGGGGCTGGCCCCCCGCGGCGGGTGGGTCTGTGCTCCTGTGGCCGCTCGGCCTCTTTTCCTTGGCAGTGAGTGTTGAGCTTCTGCCATCCGATCTGTTGCGGCTTTTCCCCTGGCTCCCTCTGGAAGTAGGCTGCTCTGGAGTCTACCGAGCCACGGGAGCATGCCAGCACGTGTTGGCATCCAGCTCCTCCTCTTGCAGGATGGCACGGATGCTTCCAGAAGGGGCGGGGGGGCACATCTGCTCTACTCTGGTCTCTCCCACCCTGGTTCCCCCTGCCCTCGGTTTGAGCTGACTCGCTCTATCTGCTCCTTGTGCTCTCTAATTCCCCGTCTCCTGGATGCTTCTGGACCCTCTGCTTCCCCTTGGATGCGATCGTAGGTCTTCATCAATAAATCCCCGGAGACTCTACAATATAATGAGGATTGAGATGCTGACCCTGTTTCCAGCTTTTCTCCTCCATGCTTTGTTCTGTCCTCTGTGGTTTTGGCCCATCTTTTAAATTTGTAAGCTCCTCAGGGCAACTTTGTGCTCTTTTATGTACTTTTATGCTTTCTTCTGCTTCAGAGTGTTCCCGGTCCCACGCGGGCTGTGCTCCGGCGCGGTAGCTCCTACGTTAAGTTAGGTGGGGAGTGCCGCGCACACCTATGGTTAGGGTATCGATGGGTATCGATTATGGTTAGGGCACACATAAATACGGCTCCAGTGCGGATCAGCCGGAGTCGGGCACCCCTCTCCTGGGGACAAAGGGACCCCTCCGGGGTGGGGACTCCCGCGTTAACAATCAAATGGCAAAGGTTGCGGCAGGGCGAGTGTTGGGTCTTGGAAACTGCTTAACCAGATGGCTCCTGGGCTCGACAGACAAGAAGTGGGTTTTGTTTGGTTCCTAAGAGCAATCTCAACAATTCAGGTGGGGTTTAGGGGCTGCTTTTTGTGTGTGTGTTTTGTTTTGGGTTTACTGCAGAAACGCTGCCCCGCGTGAAGCGGGGAGCGGCGTTCCCAGCCTTCTGCCGAGCATGGGAGAATGAGCCCCTCCGGCCCGCGCGGAGGGGGCGGCTGGGCGAGGGATTCCATGCTTTTCCGTTAGGTCACTTGGAGATTGTGCCTGGAACAAAAAGGTCTTTTTACTGGTATTGTGTGCACTCAAATGCACCTTTCCCCTGGAGATTCTTGATTAGGGCTTCTGTTGCCCCCGGGCTATTTATCCTGCTAAAAATTAAGATTTATATGCCCCTCGTGTATCGGCTTAAAGGCATATCTGAGAGACGCAATAGTATATTTAATGCGTTTTAGTGTGTCCCTCTCACCTTTTCCATGAATAGGAGAGTGTTAACCCTTTGCCCTTTTACATTTCCCACCTCCCCACTGCCTGGAAGGGTTTCCAGGCCTCTGAAGTAGTCATTGTTCCCAGCTCAGCCCCTTTGTAGCGCGTTGCCAGCAAGACGAAGTGACTTCAGCAGCACTGTATCTCAGGCACTGTATATTTCTGCTACTTGATTTTGGGGCACCCTTTGTCCCAACGTTAGAATAAAAACTTCGTAGCTCCCTTGAACGAATGTGGTGTCGGTGCACTCGGGAAGGGGCCGGAGCCGCCGAGCTCCGGTGTGGTTACCGATACCAGACAGTTAATAAATTCCCCGTCGGGTTGTGTGAGATTTTAAAGAACTTGCTCGTTTTGTTTCTCTTTGGTTTTGATTTTTTTTTTTTTCTTGTAATTCCCCTCTGCAGGCAAAGAAGAGGAAAAGAGCAGAACGCTTTGGGATCGTCTGATGCCGGTCCTTTTTAGCTTCAGCCCATTTGCAGTGTGCCTCTCGAGTGCGTGCATACTCTTTCTCTCTCTTTCCCCCACTTTCTCTCACTCCCACACTGTTTCTCTAGGTTTTAGTGATGAGTAGACAGGGAATCCCCCGTAGTTGTATGATTGTGCTACTTACTTTTTTTTTTTCAAGTTACGAAGTTTAAAAATGAAGAAAAGTTGAGCAAAAAGAAGAAACTGTTCTCGGTGCGTCTCCGGTAGCTCGCAGTCCGGTGGTTTCCCAGCAGCTCGCACCGGAGGTACCGTCCGGCGGGGAGAGGTGGAGAGTGTCCCGCTGCCCTCCGAGTGTCGCTGGGAAACGCCTGCGCGGGGGAGAGTCAAACTCTGCCCGGTAAAGAGACGGGCAGGTAGAGCAACGGTAGGAGCGCAGCGTCTGCTGTGCGATGGGGAAGGGAAAACCTTGAGGAGTGGAGATAGAGCAGGGTTTGCTCTGCCCTCGGCGGTTGCTTTTCTAGTCTAAGGACTGCCGGCGTGCTGCTAAAGCAAGGACCGGTTTGCAGCGTGTTGTCTGTTTGCCGTCCGATGCCGTCTCCACCTCTCAGACTGCCCTGGTCCTCTCCTCCTCCACCCTGGGGAAACGGGCCCCAAGGTTTGGCTGTATCGTGGTCTCTTCCCGGCAGCTGGGACGAGAACGCGCCTCGTCTTGAGAGCACGATGCATTACGCGAGTCCTGCTCTGGATCTCTGGCGTCTTACCCCTGGCTCGTCCGAGGTCTGGCGGGTTGAACGTCAGGGAAGGATTTTCTCAATTATATTGTCTCACGTTTTCAAAAATGGAAGTGGCGTGTGTGGTCGCCGACACGCGGGGCAGTTTCACGACTGCCTTCCTTCCCAGGGTGAGGCTAATGGGAATTGTCAGAGCAAGAATTGCTGATTAACCCTAGATCAAGAGCGGTGTCCTAAAACGAGGAGGAAAACGTAGCAATGCGTTTGCAAACAGAGCCTGTTCTCACCACTTCGTTTATCCCGCCTTGTTAAGCCCTCTGCGGCTCGTGGCGTTTCACCTACGTTTCCCAGGTTCCCCTAAGGTCAGTGATACGTTTCTCCCCTTAAACGACAAACCAGCAGAGCCGCTTTGTCCCGGGCGTGTTCTCGGGCTGGATTTTCTCTTGTCCCCTCTTTGCCTCAGAGTAGCTCCCAAGCTGGTTTAATTCGCAGACTGGCTGAAGAAGCCCCAGTCTTCTCCGAGCTGCCAGGCGGTGCGGGAGAGCACCGGCGGTTTCCTGGGACCTGTGTTTTGAGCGTGGAAGTTCTCAGTAGCTGTGCAGGAACAGGGTTCCTTCTGCTGCGTTGTCCGTAACCCTTTTGGTGAAATTACGGAAGAAAAATCTGTCCGAGTCAGGTGAAAGGCAGCGCTGCCGCAGCTTGCGAAGCGCTCCGTGCTGCTGTAGCGTTTCCGGCGGCACCTTTGTTCTTGGGGAGCCGTAAAGAGCAGTTCCCCGGGGTGGCTTGCGTGGGTGGAAGAAGTGGTGGCAGTGGAGAAGCGCAGGACCCCGAAGCCGGCGGTGCTGGACTGGCGGCGCTGGGGCAGAGAGGAGCTGCCTGCTGCCCTTTCCTCCTTTGCCTGCCTGGAGAATTAGTTTCACTCGCAAGCGTTCGTTCCCGCTGCATCTCCCACCCTGCGCAGAGCTTTCCCTCACAGATACCTCGGCCCCGGGCCTAAGCAGAAATCTGTCTGTCTGCTTGGATTTTTAGATGGGCATTGTGGCTGGAATCCTTCTCTTGTCTGAAGACTGATGTCCTAGGATTCTTATTTCTGACCGTAACCCCTTACCGGAGAGATGTTTGCCTTGTCCATGCTTGGTTTCTTAAGACGCTAGAGAACAGCGGCTGTGTGTCCAAATCGAGCTTTTCAGAGGCTTATACCTGATTCTTAATAAGCAATATATATATATTTTTTAACGTAGAAGTCTTCAAACCGCTTCTGTTCCATTACTGTTTGCAGTCTGACTGCGTCCGTGTGCCCTCGGTGACTCTAAGCAATACCTTGGACGTTTGTTTACTTTCCCAAAGGGCAGCTAAAAGCCACGGGGTCCGGGTTAGGTTGTGTGTCTTGGGTTGTCAGTGGCTGAGTGAATCGAAGCTCCCTTGCTCCTTCCTGATTTAATGTAATAACGTTATTCTGATTTTTTTTTTTTTTTGTATGTCAGATTTTGTAAGATGTATTTTCTATTTGGCTCATGATCTTTTTGCTGGTTATTTGCTTGAAATGTTTTGTAGTGTGCCAGGGCAAACACTGCATTTCATTCTCGGTTTCATAATAAAACTGCTTCTCCAAGGCAATTCTGGTATCTGTCAGTTTGATGCATGGCGCGGCCGAGGCTCGGGGCCGGAGCGTGCCGCCGGGAGGGAGCTGGAGCAGATGGAGACTTGGCCACTGCCACTCCTGCCTGCGCGGGGGTGGCTGGGGGGGGCAGAGAGCCCGCCTGGCCGGGCCGTCGCCAGCGGTTAGGGGTTGCCCTAACGTTGACTTCGTGTGGCCTGGCCAAAGTCCTAAAACACCCCCCACCCCCCCCCCCTTCCTCCCCCGAATTACCTCGCTGCTCCCTTTCGGTGCACATC